ATGGTGCACTTGCACATAAGGTGCGTGAGGGAAATGAAGGCAACACGATTACAGTCATCAGTCATTAGCGAATGCTGCAGTCCGTTATTAATAACTGGAGGCCCGGTGCACAAAACTCGTGCCCTGGAGGGGGGTCCCTCAGCCTGGCCCATCCCTCTTGCAGTCTGGGAACCCTCCTGCTCGCTGTTCCGCGCTGCTGGGAGGCGGGAGAGGCTCCCGCCATGAGCCCTGCTTCTGGCTGAGCGGCGCTCCCCCTGTGGGCACGCACTGACCACCAGGGGGCAGCGCCTGCATCGAGCATCTTCCCCCTGGTGGTCAGTGCACATCATAGTGACCAGTCATTCTGGTCGGTCCGCCGTAAGGGTTGCTTAGGCTTTTATTGTATAGGTTATGTATAACAGGATATTGTGAAAGTTGAGTTACGGAATTTTTATTATTAAAATGTTTCTTACATACTGTTACATCGGCTGGCCCGCAAAAATATTTGTTGTGGGCCAAGAGTTTGACATGCTTGCCTTAGCCCTGTGGTCGGCAAACTGCGGCTGGCGAGCCATGTGCGGCCCTTTGGCCCCCTGAGTGTGGCTCTTCCACAAAATACCACGGCCTGGGCGAGTCTATGTTGAAGAAGTGGCGTTAGAAGAAGTTTAAGTTTAAAAAATGTGGCTCTCCGAAGACATTTCCATTGTTGTGCTGTTGATATTTGGCTCTGTGGGCTAATGAGTTTGCCGACCACTGCCTTAGGCATTGTGCTCACCGCCACTACAGGCCTTGGGAGGCGGCAGAGGTCAGTGCCGGGAGTCTGCCCGCCCGGCTGACCCTTAAATTCAGCACAGCCCCAGCATGCATGCCTGTCGCATCCAAAGGTCATGAATAAATACATGCCTGAAAGCATGAATAACTGAACAAATGAATAGGTTATACCACTGCCTGGCTCAGGGGAGTCAGAAAGGGCCGGAGTGCCAGAGGGAAAGGGTCCCCCTGTGTGCGGGGCTGGAGCCTTGACACAGAGGCTTTGGAGACCAGTGTCGGGCGGGGGGGGGGGGGTGGGGGGTGGGGAGGCCTGGGAGAGGGGCAGGAGCGGAAATGCCGGGAGCGGAGATTGAATCGCGGGGAGCAAGGTGCCGGGCTGTGAGGAGGAGCCCAGAGCCTCCCCGGCCCCCCAGGCGGCAGAGCAGCTCCTCAGCCCGTTTGGAGAGGTTGACAATGACTTTGAGACCAGCTGGATCTCGGACCGGAGCTTGCAGGTACGGGGGCGGGAGGGAGCCGGCCTCGGAGCTCTCTCCGAACTGGACCCAGGGACGGGGGCCTGCAATTCTGTAGACACTGGATGGCCTCCTCTCCCCGCCCAGGATTCTCACCCCAGCTTTTGAGGCTTCAGGTAGGTTTCAGTCTCTCCATTTTGCAAGTAGGGAAACTGAGGCCCAGAGACACAGAAGTGGCCTCTGGCAAGTCTTGCTTGGCTGACCTCTCTGTCGGCCTTCTGCTCCTGTCCCTGACAGCCAGGTGTCCCTGCCGGCCATGGACGAGATGCACCGGCACCTGCCCCCCGTGGAGCGGGACCTGTCCCGGAACCACGGCCCCCTACACGGCTGCTTCTGCCCAGTCTCGCCGGCCTTCCTTCTTTGGCTCCACCTTCAATATCAGGTGGGCAGTGCCCGGGAACCCCCCCTCCCCGTGCGTGGGCCCGCCCGGGAACAGAGTGGCCTGGTTAACGCACACTGGAGCCCTCCAAGTGCCAGGCGCTGTGCTAAGCCCTCCTCCCCAGGAACCGGGCCTGGTTAGCTCCCGTGTTCAGATGGTGAAGGCCAGGTTCAGCGAGGTGAAGGCAGTTGCCTGCCCACCGTCACATGGCTAGCAGGCAGCGGGGTGGGCCAGCATGCCCGCTTCTCCGCCTCACCTCGCACGCTTTCCGTGCCCTGCTCTTAGGTGCCTCCAGCCTAAGCCCCAGGGGGGCCCTGAGGCCAGAGAGGGAAGGACTTACTCGAGGGCAGTCAGTGAGTGACCAGGGACACCGCTGGGTGTCAGGGCCTGGTTCCTGACGCTGGCCCAGAACTGTTCTCTGATAAGCCGGAGCATGTGGAGCGGCGGTGGTGGGATGGGGTGTCCCTGAAATGGGGGCGGGGTGGTAGGCACACCCCACAGGAGGCTGGGTCCTCGCAGGTGCCGTCGGGGCAGACTATGCTGCAGAGCAGGGGCCTCGCCGCCCACGTGGGTGCCGTCTCCCCGAAATGGTCAGAACCCCTTTGCAGCTGCTGCTGGGCCTCCGTGAGCTGACGGGTCGCCTCGAAAGCTCTCTCTCAGCTGGGACTGGAGGGGACTCTGGTGCATGTCTATCAAGGTTTCCCGTGTTAGGCTCAGCTCTCTCCTCGCTCTTTAAGGGCACCATATCCCGTTACCTGGAACCAGAACTAGCCGATCCCCGAGCGGCGTGAGCCAGGCTTGGGAAGGTGACCGAGGGGACATTCTGGAGGTTGCCTTCGATCTGCAGACCTGACCCAGCCATGGAAGGTTGTGGAGGGGGAGGGAGAGGCAGGAAGTGATGCAGAGGCCCAGCCTCCAGGGAACACGCTTCAGCGAAACTGGATCCACAGCGCAGGCCTCGGAGGCCCGGGAGGGGGCAGGACAGAGGAGGTCACTGCGGCCTCCTGGAGGGAGGGCCTGCAGCCTTGGGGTTTGGGCAGGGCGAGGCAGGCTGCTCTGGGTCGGTTGGTCTCTAGGTCGGTTGGTCAGGGGGCTTTCTCTTGCAGAGGAGAGGCCTTGGGCTCCGGAAGCCAGGCTTCTCTCCTTGGGACATGGTTGGGTGAGCTGGGCCGGGAGGATGGCTGAGGGGGTACAGGATGGGTCAGGAGAGGTGGGCCAGGGCGCTGTGAGGGAGACCGTGTCCCTGACCTGGGGCCCGAGGGAGGGAGAAATAAAGTCGGGTTTGGTCCTTTGGCCCCAACTCAGCCCTCGGTGTTGCTTCTTTCCAGTCTGCACAAGGAAGAGATGGCGATCCAGCCCGGCCCGGGGAGGCAGGGGAGGAGGGCACACCCGCTGGCATCCTCGGCCGCCTCCTGGGGCTGCAGTCCCCCCAGCCCCCACCAGGACGAGCTCCAAGACCAAGCTACTGCTGCCCAGGAAGGAAGGCCTCCTGCCCGAGGGCCCGCCCGAGCAGCTCAGGGTGCCAGCCAGCGCTTCAGGGATGGCGAGGCCTGGAAGCTGGGGGGGAGGGGGGGGGCGGGGAGGGAGGGGAGGATGCTACTAAGCCCCCTGCGCTGTATGGGAGGTCGGGCTACCACAGCGCCCCGCAGACACGGCTCAGCCCCATCCCCATGGCGTTCCCACCAGCACCCCCTGCACCCGCCGGTCTCCACAGAGGCCCCAGCGTCCGGGCAGACCAGACCCCACAGCCTGGGGCGCAGGGGCCTCGATGGAGCCCCTGGAGCTGGGTCACGTCAAGAGGAAGACAGTGGAGTTTAACCTGACCGACACGTCAGCGACCCAGAGTCCTCTCCGAGAACCAGGCACGACACTCACAGACCACAACCCCTACTGGGCCTTGGACAGCAGGTCTGTGCTCTGCGCCACCCAGGCTCACCACACCCTCCCTGGGCGCCCTCCAGCCCCACCCCAGCTCCCCTTGCTCTGAGCCTACCCTTCCTCCATGATTTCCTCATGGCCGACCTGTGCCAGCACTGGCTTGGGGCACACACTTGGCCACCTGGGCAGGGGCTTTGGTGTCCCAGGAGGAAGTCCTGGCAGTGCAGCTGGGAAGGGCGACCAGCCCAGGCTTCGATGGGGAGGTTGTCCTGGGTCCAGCTCGCTTGGACAGCGTGGGAGACACAGAACCCCACGGGGCAGAGCTGGGAGTTCTAGTAGAAGGCCAAGAATTTAACTCCCTGCCCAGGGTTAGCTGAGGTTGTATACGAGCAGTCAGTCCCCCAAGACCAATCACGGGCCTGAAGCTTGGCAAAGGGCCACACCTTTGGATGGTGAGGGCATGCAGGTCCCTTGGGGTTTTCGTTGCTTTGGGCACCTGCTCTCCCTGCTTTCTGGGGTCAATCCAAGCTGTCACACCCACCCGTACCCCCTGATCCCAACCTTAGCACCCACCCAGTTATACATCTGCCCACCCCACACCCATCATGTGGGAGGGAAGTTTAACTTCCTATTTCTAGATTCTCAAAAAGTTACTTGTGGTCAGAATACACCGCTTGGAGATCTTAAAGAGCCACCATCTGCCTAGCTCCCAGGGCTGGATGGAAACCTAAAGGCCACGGTGGCGGATAACAGCTCTGCAGCACCTGGCACCATTTTAATACTGAAGATGCCTCAACCTTAGCTCTCCCGCTGAGGCTCATGTTGTATTGGAATGAAGGTACCTTCCATATTCACGTGAACTTTCTCAAATTTTCACAGGGACCAAGCACGCTCCTAGCCCATCTCCCCAGGGACAGCGTCTCCGGCCTGGTCCCACCTGTGTGTACACCAGCGGGACACTGACCCAGTCACAGACAGGCAGCTGTCCACACTGCCGGTCCCGACAGCCTGAATTAAATGGTTAGCTCAATGGAGCACGAGAATCCTTAGTTTCAGGGCTACCTAAACCTTTAAATAAAGCCTTTTGTACATAAAAATAATGGAAGCTAGAATGAGCCTCTAGAAACATGTAATTCAGAATCCAAATTCCACACCCAAGCCTTGGCATTTCACAAACTCAGAAGCTTCATAGAACTAAGGATTTAATAAACCAAGAATTTTCATAAACAAAGTCCCGTTAGGCGTTTCATCTTACCCGGCATTTACGGACTTAGCTAAGGCGGCCTGGATATACTGCAAGGCAATCCCAAGAATTTAAAGACAACAGCTGGGTACCAAATTCCTTTATTTGAAGGAAGGTACAAATGAGAGGCATGAGGGCTGATTTGGTACAAGTTATAGAAAAGGGAAAGGGAACTCCAACATGCATACTGCTTGGTGACCAGGAAGTCACCCCCAAGGCTACCAGAAGCAGCCAAGGCTTAGCTCTCATCACAGCTGCCCAGGGTGTGCTTGTCAAAGAGATACTCGGCCATGCCAGCTTCGGGGGCCCCCATCCTGCGCAAGTTGGTTACGTGGTCACCCAGTTCTTTGATGGATTTCACCTGCTCCGTCAGGTAGTGCGTCTCCAGGAAGTCACACAACTGCAAACACAGAACGGGGAGAAGACGGTCAACTGCCAGCGGCTAAGGAATACTGTCTCTTCCCTTCGCTCGGGCTGCCAATACTCACGTGGGGGTCATTTTTGTCAGTGGCCAGCTTGTGCAGGTCCAGTAGTGACTGATTCACACTTTTCTCCAAGTGCAGAGCACACTCCATTGCATTCAGCCCGTTCTCCCAGTCGTCACGGTCTGGTTTCTAAAGGAAGAGGAAGAAGTTAGGGCAAGGCACCCAGAGTCTCTACCAAGCACACCATGGCAATGTGGCAGGCAAAGCTTTTGGTGAAAGGACATCTAAGTGTCCAACTCTCTCCTTTCCCCTCTAAGATCACTAAAAACAGATTGAAAATAAAAAACGAAAGGGCAGCTGCTGGCGCCTGCGCCATTTCCCACCCCAGAGGCGGCCGATTAGCCCGGCATCCCGGAGGGCCCTCACCTTGATATCCTGAAGGAAGATTCGGCCGCCGCGCTGGTTCTGCAGCTTCATCAGCTTCTCGGCATGTTCCCTCTCCTCGTGAGATTGGTGAAGGAAATATTTGGCAAAGTTCTTCAGAGCCACATCATCGCGGTCAAAGTAGTAAGACTGAAGGCGGAACATGAGCGTTAGGTTAGGGGCGGGCTGTGTTCCTGGACTGAACACAACCACCATCACTTTCCACTCTAAGATGGAAGGAGGAAGCCCGGGCTTTGAAACGGGAAGTGTGGGGTAGGAACTTTGGAGGAATGGCCTCCTGCGCAAACGTGCTGCTGCCAGAGTTCTCCCAGCCGGTGTCCCATTTCCCCTGAGGGGGTGCTGGTGAGTTTCCCCGCCTTCGCCCCCTCCTCCCTGGAGGCATGTCAAAACACGAGCGCGGCTTGCAGGCAGAGAGTGATTTCTAAAATTAACCCACGACGCAAGGTCACCACCGTGGCGACGCTCACGTCGGGAGAGGGCGTTGGATTCGCGCTTTAGACGCTTGCTGGGCTGGGAGCTCCGAACACCGAGTCCAGTCGCAGAAACCCAGGTCTGCTCGCCAGCCATCCTGGAGGCGGCTTTGCTCGGGCCGCTGGCTCCCATCAGACACCTCCAACCAAATCTCCCCCCACCCCCCCTCCCGCCACACCAGGCTTTTGGGAAGCTGACCCCCCACCCGTTACAGAGAAAAATGACTTGCCCAGTAACTGCTAGTGGATTTTATCCAAGAACTGAGCGTCCAATCAGATTAGAGGGCTACAGTTCTTAGACCTCCCCCCCCCCCCCAAAGGATAAAAAAAAATGAAGGACGCAGGCACCACGACAACCGGGTGTCCCCCAAACGGGAGCCGGCTCAGGGGCTCCGAGATAAGCAGGCCCGCGGGGTGGAGGCGGCGGCTCGGGAGTGGGCGCCCGCGGAAGATAAGCCTCTTCGCCCCGGCCCCCAAGTTGCTATTCGACACCATTACCCAGAAGGCTCCGGCGCAGCTGGGGGAGGGGAGGGAGGGAGCCGGACTCTCGGCCCGTTAGCCAGGCAGGCCGAGGGCACCGGGGCACGTGATCGGACGCAGGGGAAGGGATGAAAAGGCAAAACCCCCTTCCTGGCTGCAGAGCTGTGTCCGCGGCCCGTGTCCCCGGAAGCCAGGCTCCCCGCCGACACAAGGCGGGGCGCGGGGGCGGCCCTCCCGGAGGCGGCCAGGGAGGGCCAGGCGCCCGGGGTTTCTGCGCACGGAGCGGCCTGGGAGGCCCCGCGCGGCCTCCATGTTCCCGAAGGGCGCGGGGGGCGCGGGGAGAAAAGGGGGAGCGGGAGCCCCAGCCCAGCGGCCGCCCCGCCCCCGGGGAGCCGCCCGCACTCACCATGGACAGGTAGACGTAGGAGGCGTACAGCTCCAGGTTGATCTGGCGGTTGATGGCGGCCTCCGAGTCCTGGTGGTAGTTCTGGCGCACCTGCGAGGCGGGCACGGCGGACGTCATGGCGGCGGCGGCGGAGCGGCGGGGCGGCGGGGCGGCGGGGCGCGGCGCTGGAGCGGCGGCGGGGGCCTGGGGTCGTCCGGGTCCGGGGTCGGGGGTCTGAGGCGCGGCGAGGAGGAGGAGGGCGCTGCGAGGAGGCGGCGGCGGAGGCTGCGGGGAGCGCCGGTTCCGTCCAAGCACTGTTGAAGCAGGAAACCTGGCCGCTCTCCGCGGAGACTGTGGCGCAGCCGGCCGCCCGCGGGCTTTTATAGCGGCGCCGCGGCCGCCCGCGCCGGCCAATCCCGCCGCCCGCCGCCGCCAAGCCCCGCCCTTTTCTGCGCGCGCCCGAGGGGAGGGGCGCAAGGGGGGCCACGGGGTGCGTAGGGGCCACGGCGGGGGCGGGGGGGGATGAGGATGGGGGGTGAGGCGGGGGGGGCGGTGAGGCTGGGGGGTGAGGCGGGGGGACGGCGGAGGGGGAGGAGGGGAGGGGGGCTCTGCGCGCGCGGTGTGGAGCGATCTGGGGGTTGGAGGGACGACCTAGGCGGGAGTGGGGGGCCCTAGGGGGTGGGGGGCGGAGGGTGGGGGCCCAGCTCAGGCCCGGACCCCAGTCCTGGACCGGACGGGAGGCCCCCCCCTGGCTAGGGGCGTCGGGACGTCCGAGGTCCCTAAAAGCACCCCGAGGCTCCAGGTCGGGAGCCTGGTGTCCGTGGCGGGTACCGCGCCCCGAGATCGTGGGACGTGGGAGGCCGGGGCGGGCCGGGCGGCGCACTTTCTCTCCCCGGGCCTGGGCGCGGCCGGCGGCGGCTCCGGCTCAGGCGGCTGCCCGCCTCTCCCTGTGCGGGAGGCGAACATGGCTCCCGGGCAGTTTGGGCGACAAAGGCGGGGCGGGGGGTGGGGGGGCCGAGGAGCGGGAGTGTGGGGGGCACAGCTGTCTTCCCGAGGAGCCTGGGCGGGGCCGCCAGCTTTCTGAGAAAGTCGCAGGGGGCGCTTCAAACTCGGAGATCGGAGTTCAGGGGAGAAGGAGACGCGGCTGGGAGCCGGAGAGGCCGGGCGGCCATGTTGGAGGGCCGCTTTGGTGGCGGGACGGAACGGGCGCCCGGGGCGAGGGCAGGCCCGGAGCGTGCGGCTCTTGGGGGGCGGCCGGGCCAGGCTGTCTCCCAAGTTCCCTTGTTGGGCACGGGGGTGGGGACCTGCCCCAGACCCGCTGGGGACGCTCACAAACGGGAAGCTGGACTTAACCTTAAAGAAAATAAAGAATTCTATTAAGATATCCCAACAAGTGCCCATGGGGCTGCGGTTCATTTCCAAACGAGCGCGGGTCACCTTGGGGAGAAGGGGAGAGGGGGGAGAGCTCCACCGAAGGAAGCGGGCAGGCGCTGGGAGAGCAGGGGGCAGGGGCCGCTGGGGACAGGAGGTCCCGGGAGGCTTCCCTAAGAGCAACCCGGTTCAAGGACAGGTGAAGTGGAAGGAGGGGTCCAGGCAGAGAAGGCCACTGCACGGGTGTGAAAGTGCACACGGTGTTGAGATGTGAACGTGCACACGGGTGTTAAGGTACAAACGTGCACACGGTGTGAACATACACTCGGGTGTAAAGGTGTGAATGTGCATACAGATGTTAAGGTGCAAACGTGCACAGGGGTGTTAAAGTGCAAACATGCACACGGGTGTTGAGTGAACTTGCACATGGGTGTCAAGGTGTGAACATGTACACGGGTGTTAAGATGTGAAGGTGCACACGGGTGTTAAGATGTGAATGTGCACACAGGTGTTAAGATGTGAGCGTGCAGTGTCCCAGGTGCCTAGGGATGACGCACTGGCCTGGAGAGCAGAGTCCTGTTGGACAAGGCTGGGTGGGCGGCAGGGCCAGGCCAGGAGGGGCCGGGGCCCTAGAAAGGGGTTAGGTGTTGCCGGGGGACATGAGACACAAGGGATTTCTAGCCAGGGAGATACCAGGCTGGTTTTGTTTTCCGAAACCTTACACGGAATCAGCAGAAAAACGAATTAGCATAAGAGTACAGCAAAGTGACCCGTTGCAAAGTTTGCCTATGTAACAGTCACCACAGTTAGAAAAAGTAATGAAAGAAAAATCATTTTACATTGGCCACAAGAGCTTGAAGTCCCGAGGAGAAAAGCCAACAGGAAGTGTGGGGAGAAAACTACACGTTCACCGCAGGGCGGGTAGAAAACTGGCACCAACGAGGAGACCACATTTCCAGAGAGCCAGCCTCTGTTGTGTAGAGAAGACAGTTCTAAAATGAACTTATACATTCAATGCAACGTCTATTATAGAAAACTCAGTGGTTTGGGGAAATTGACAACTTTTTTAAAAAATATATATATATTTTATTGATTTTTTACAGAGAGGAAGGGAGAGAGATAGAGAGCTAGAAACGTTAACGAGAGAGAAACATCAACCAGCTGCCTCTTGCACACCCACTACCAGGGATGTGCCCACAACCAACGTACATGCCCCTGACCGGAATCGAACCTGGGACCTTTCAGTCCGCAGACCGACGCTCTACCACTGAGCCAAACCGGTTTCGGCAGAAATTGACAACTTCTGATGTTCATTTGAAGGAGTACGTGTATAGAATACACGATAAGCATTGGGGGAAGGGGCACGAGGGGAGATTCGCCCTCTTGGCACACAGTTTAAAAATCACCGTAATGCCGGGACTGTTTTTGGCTCAGTGGATAGAGGGTCGGCCTGTGGACTGAAAGGTCCCGGGTTTGATTCCGGTCAAGGGCATGTACCTTGGTTGCGGGTACATCCCCGGTGGGGGGTGTGCAAGAGGCAGCTGATCGATGATTCTCTCTCACCGATGTTTCTAACTCTCTATCCCTCTCTCTTCCTCTCTGTTAAAAATATATTTTTTTAAAAAATCACTGTAAAGTACTGCGGGCGGTTGGTACTGGCACAGGAAGACATGAGCCCATCGGCAACAAAACAGCCCCGCCCCACGGAAGGGGAACTGGAAAGGGAACTGGGCAGGTGCTGAAGCAGCATTTCAAATGAGGGAAGCAGGAGCGGTACAACACATCACGTTGGCACAGTGGCGAGTCATGCGAAGACAATGACTCACTGTGTTTCAAAACACGCTCCAGATGGTCGGGAGAGCCAAGCCGAAAAGGAAGAAGCTAACGAAGTTGCTCGAACGAACGTACAGAAGATGCTCTTAGAATTTGGGGGCAGGGTGTGTGCTTCTGAGGCCGTCAAGGGCCATAAGAGGACAGTTGGCAGATCTGAGGCTAAAAAAATGACAAGCCGTAAGCCAAAAGATGCCAAAAACAACGTTCAAGTTCAGATGGCCAGCAGTAGGGAAGATGCATAGCCATAGTGTATCTGTGGAAGTCCCCCCTGCCAATGCCCCTTCCCCTCCTTCCCCGCTACGGTGAGCTGCTGCAACAGGCGCCACTTCCGTCTTCATCCTGGCCCCAAGCATTTGGCAAGGTGCTCGGCGCTCGGTGCTCAGTGTTGGTGGAATGAACAGATGGCGGCGTGGATTGGATGTGCAGGATGGACAGGGTCAGGCCGGAGGCTGGGTGCGGACTGGGAGACAGCAGCCCCAGTTCTCACTGAGCCGAGGCACAGAGGGGGGTTTGGGAGGCCTGGAGTAGACCCGACCGGATGAGGTGGCTGACGGGTATCTTGGGGGGCAGAGGTGAGGAGTGGGAGGCGGGCAAGAGAGGCCCCCCTCTTCTTGCTTGCGCCGCTGCTGCCGTTCACGGAGACAGGGAGCGCGGGAGGACATGCAGTTTGGGGGAGGCCAGCGAGGCTTCGGACTGGAGGGGCTGTGGTGGGCAAAGCCCAGGGCCGGGGCTGTGGTGGTGCCTGTGAGGAGTGAGAGGAACATCTTGTGCTGGGGTGTGGGGGTGTGTGTGGGTGTGTTGCCTAGGGCATTTCCACTTTCTGGGAACCCAGGGTGTCAGAACTGCCAACTCGGAGCTTCTAGAGTCTTCTGAAGCCAGGGCCTGGTCTTTGGACCTTTGTTGACAAGGATTGGGCCTCCCTCCCCTGGGCCCAGCTCCTCGTGACTCTGACTGAGGCGGGGAGCTGGCCGGCCTCCAGCAAAGCAGCCTCAGTGGGCGGAGCCACCGGCGAGAAGAGCTGCTATGGTTTCTGGAAGTCCCAGGGGTGGGGGTGGGGTGGGGGTGAAAGCTGCTGTCCCACCGTGACTCAGCACTCTGCTGGTCCTCAGGGGCTGGCCCCAGGCTCCAAAAGTGCTTGGTCATGGAGGGAGGAGGGCGGGAAAGCACCCCCACTTCCTCCTGTGGCTGGCTGCCCAGCTGCAGGACTAGGGGTCCCGGTCACATACCCCGCTCAGGGCCTTCCTGCCTCATGGGCAGTTCTCCAGAGATGCTGCTGTGGGATACCTCTTAGCCTTCCACAGCTGGAAAAGCCACAGAATGTCAAGGCGTAGGAAGGGCTTTAGGATTTACAGATACAGAGGTGGAGCCTGGCTGCTCCGTTGGTTGAGCGTCTTCCCGTGCATGGGAGAGTTGCTGGTTTGATTCCCGGTCCGGGGTGCATACGGGAGGCAACCAATAGATGTTTCTCTCTCCCCCTTGCCCTTTCTATAAACATCAATAAAAACATATATTTGAGGCAAAACCGGTTTGGCTCAGTGGATAGAGCGTTGGCCTGCGAACTGAAGGGTCCCGAGTTCGATTCCGGTCAAGGGCATGTGCCTTGGCTGCGGGCACATCCCCAGTGGGGCGTGTGCAGGAGGTGGCTGGTTGATGTTTCTTTCTCATTGATGTTTCTAGCTCTCTATCCCTCTTCCTTCCTCTCTGTAAAAATCAATAAAATATATTTAAAAACACACACACACACACACATATTTGAAAGGAAGGAAAGAAGGAAGGAGAGAGAGCGAGAGAGAGAAAGAAGGAGAAAGGAAGGAAGGAAGAGCGGGGAGTCCCATAGAAGTCAGGCCATCGTCACTGAACAAGCTACAGTGAAGACAGGGCGCACTGGGACGCGGCATGGTTCTTGAAAACAGCGACTTATTCCTGGGAAACGT